CTTCCCTTTTTAGGAGGTTTTGCTCCTCCTTCATTTATTACAATCCTGTGTGCTCTTTTACGAGGAAGCATGTCTAAGTTGGTTTTAGCCATATCTGCAAAATCATCACAAAGAATTAGGAACAGTTCAAGCAAATGCACAGAAAAACAATTGCAGACAAACTTGCTGAACCAGTCGGCTAGTCACCGAATCACTTTAGCGAGCGAGATTAGGCTCGCCAAAAGGATTGGCACAAAAATTCCCCAAAAATTTTGGCATGTCGATAATGGGATGGGCTTTTCGGCGAGAAAGGACTAGCTCGTGAAAAGTTACAGTGCATTTTAGGGGTTAGGGGTGCAGAAAGGGTGATCAAGAAGGACTTTCGGCGAGTCACCGAGTGCACTCGGTGAATTCAGGCTTCTAGCCGAAAGTTACAGAACCAAACTCAAGATTTAGCATGAAATTAAAGGCGATAAGGGGGATTCGGTGAACCACCGAGTGGTTCGGCGAGCTCGACGTGGCCTGCCAAACAACCCAATGTGCCTACTCTCAACCCTAACTTCCAAATTCAACCCCGCAGCCCCCGAAAACAAAATCAAAACATTCACCCATATAATTAATCCAAGGCCCATTACACCCATGCCCACGGGATACTCAGACTTCTTCTGGTTTGGCCAAATTTGGCCATTTGACGACTTTTGCCCTTAAGAATGACGTCAACCGCTCCATCATTGGGAAAAATACGTCATTTGGCACAAATGCAGGTTACTCACACTTCACCCAACTAGACCCAACATCATCTAAGAAAAACCCAACAATTTTAATCAATTTTAAGGCACACAATATTCGGGAAATCAATGATATAGGCATTATAGGCATGATATGCATATTAAAACAGGCACACACATACCCAATTACGATTAGACATCACTAAGATAAGAACAATTGCAAATGAATAAAAATTGCTAAATAAGAATTCGGGGTTCAGAAAACCAACCTTTGAAGACAAATAAACAAGTTCAATAGTTAGGCGGCAAAGAATCCAACTACGAACACACAATAGATGACTAAATCACGATAACAATACAAAAATATGAGAAAAACTATTTTGGGTGTGAGTTTGGTAAGTTCAAAAGTGAGGAATGTGAAAGATTATGTTTTGAACCTTTAGCCTTTAAAAATCGTCCAGTTCTTGCCCATTCGGCGAGATAAGTTTTGCTCGCCGACCCACTCAGCGACACACCGAGTGGGCGCTTACCTCACCAATTTTTACAGGACCTCCAATTAAGGTAGGGGTCCAAACGGCGGACATAATCATGATCGCTAACCTGGTTGGCGATTCGCCAATCTGCTCCTGGGCTCTCCGAGTTTTATAGACTCCAAATTCAAAATGTCTTGAATCCAACAGCGGTTTTAGTCGGTGCTTGCCGACCTCTTCGGCGAGTCACCGACTGGACTTTTTCTCGCCAATCTGCTCTTTTCAAACACATTCCACACTCAAACCTGCACATTCAACACACCATTATTTCCAAATTAAAAAGAAAACAAATAAAACTTGGGTTGTCTCCCAAGCAGCGCCTTAGTTAACATTGTTGCATGACGCAAGTCGTCATTCAAACTTCATTCTTGGGGTTGGCCCTAGTGTCACTAAACAACCCCCCTTGTTGTCTCGGGTTTAAATGAGACGAGATATGATCCATTTGGGTCTCCAACTATTTGATCGAGACGGAATGAGAGGTAACTGTCTCGCTAAGGGTCGACACATCTTCCTTCATATCTTTCAAAATCTTGTCCAACCCCTCAACCTTGTTGAGAATACGAGAAAGCATATCCTCAGATCGGCCACCCTCAAAATCCTTTGCCTTTTGGCGCTCATGGGGAAGAACATATATATCTTTCTCCCCGTCTCTCTCTTTCCAGGTGGGGTTACGATCCCTCCACTATCTATCACGATCCTTCCAACCTTAATCCCTGCTCCAACCTTGGTTACCACCCTACCTCGGATAGTTTGACCGATAACCACCTCCTTGGTTGGCTAGGAAGTTCACATCTTCGTTATACAATGCTTCAAACTTGGCCTCATCAGGATTAACACACCCGACACCCACAACATTGACACTTCGAGCACCAGCTCTCATAACATCTTTGGACAAAATGTTAAGTTGTGTCATGATCATGGCCATGTTCTGGTCCCTCTCTTGGTCCTTTTTAAGTTGCTCCTTGGTCAATTTAAACGTGAGAGGGGAGACCTGATCTTCGCGGGTGTACCAAGCTCGATTAATTGTGGTCTGACCATCCAAAAGTTGGGTTGCTATAACGTAAGGTTGTTGCATCAAACCTCCCAGAGAAAGTTGGTTCGCTACACCTTTGTTCATCCAATCAAGACTTTGGTAAATATATTGCAGCAAAATATTTTCGAGTAAACCATGAGTTGGGAATTACAGCACCAACTTCTTGAATCAACCAAGTCTCATTAATTGGCTCACCCTCCAAACGCTTAAAGCTTTAAATGTTGTCTCGAAGAGTCATCATCTTCGAAGGAGGGAAAATCGCACTTGAAATGTGGTGACAAACTCTTCCCACGAAGTGATTGATATCGTGGCAATTCAACCAGCCACTTACATGTTTCTCCCATTAAAGAAAACGGGAACAACCTCAACCGGACCGACTCTTGGGATATGTTCTTGAAGGAGAACGGACCGTAAACATCAACAAAGTTTCTAATATGCTCATGGGGATCCTCATGAGCCATCCCACCAAACAACCCTTTCAATTGCAAGAGTTGCAACATAGTATTGTAATATGGAACACAGTGTTCCCTTCAGTCGGAGGCAAGCGAATGGCACCAATTCCACCCATAAGATGAGGGTCATTAATATTAGGATCATTGACATTGTTGAGGTTTCTCATGTCGTCTTGGTGGCCCACTTGGCTACCATTGCTTCCATTCACACTCATACTCTTTGTTTCAAAACACAATAAGTAAGACAAAACTGAAAGTAAGTAGATTCAACTATAATTAACAAGAACAAAATTCAACTTAACTAAAGAATCTTAATCAACACCACTCCCCGGCAATGACACCATTTTGATTAACGATTCAACGACACTCCATCCAATTCTAAGTGTCAACGATCGCTAGTCAGTATAATAACCCAACTAAATGAGGTGGGGTCGAATCCCACAAGGAATGGTACGTGTTTAAGATTCAATAGTAAAGTATGAATATGCTCAAGTCAATCATAGGGATAGACATTTACGAATAAAAACATAATTCAAATTAAGGGGTTGACACGAGTGTCAAATAACAGGGGATTTTGGTTGTAATTATCAACTACAGTAGCAGCAAATAACACAAAATAACAATAATGAGACGGGTTCTTGGGATGTGATTCGATTATAGGTTAATATAGACAAATGGGTAATTGCAATTGTTAGAAAATAGTTGTAAATTAGTGAATAGGCTAGACTATAGAGGAGGTAAACTTTCTCTCGAATAATTTACCCCGAATCAAGTCAGTTTCTCTCGAACACCAACAAGCAAGCAAATAAGAACAGCCTATGCCTTAGTCCATTCACTCTCTTGAGATGAATGTGTGGAAAAGGGTTTAGGATTCACTCTCTCTAGCTGAACCCATGACAACCCTATACCCACAGACCATCAATCAATAATCTTGATTTTAAAACCTCTCTCGAGCAGGCCAAAAACACGAAGGTAGAACTGCATTTGGAACTATAATCCTTTAATTTAAACCACAATTAATGACTAAAATCACTTCTAAACATCATTTAAACTAATAATTAGCAATACCCATAAGCTAAATCAACCCATAATCACATAATCACACCTCAAGAATTGGGGTTTTAGCTAGACATCATAAAATGATAAAAATCGTTACCAAATTGTGTTTCCATCAACTGGTAAGATTAATTTCATCTTTACAAAGGTCCAAATTGAAGAATCTCAAAGACCTACTTCCAATTTCTCAAAAATGGAAAACTTCAATTCTTCAAAGCTAAGGAAAACTTATCTCAATACTCTGAGTTCAAACTGTCTCAATACTCTGAGTTCAAACTGATTATGATAAAAAGCCATTAAGATTAATGTTTGAAAATGTATTTATAGTCACCAAAAAGATGATGCGAAGGGCCATTCAGCGTAGTAAGTCAAGCTCACTGATCGACTCAGCGATCCGCCCTTTGGTCAGTTCCATCGCCTTTTTACTTTGGCCTTCAGCATCCTCAAGTTTTGTAACTTTGGGCGATCTAGCACTGCATTGCGGAACCACTCGGCGACACGTCGGCTGCTCCTTTCTCTCGCCAAATTGATTTTCTTCTTTAGGGCTTGGCACACTGAAACTTTAGGCGAGATGGTGGCCAATCGGCGACTCGCCAAAGGGACTTGGCGATCACCATGCCTTCATTTCTTCGTTCTTTCAGGTCACTTTGTTCCTTTTTGCAAATTAGTGTCCATGCTTTGTTCCTCAATCCAAATACCTGGAAATCAAGGATTTTATATTAGTTATTGGCACAAAATAAGCATTTGAAGACACTAAATCTATCCAAATAAAGCCCTAAATGAGTCCAAACTGTGGACTCATCAAACAACCAGTGGGTTTCATTGTTAAAGGTCAAGAAAATGAGGTTTGTAAATAGAAAAGATCAATTTATGGCCTAAAGTACTATTCAAGGCAGTGGTACCTGAGATTTCATATGGGGGTGATGTCATTTGATTTCACCATGATCTATGAAGACCATTGCATCTATGTGAAAAATTTCAATGTAAATTTTGTAATTCCTTCTCTTTACGTAGATGATATTTTATTAGCTGGACTAATTTGGATTATGTGAAAACTTTCAAGTCATGGCTTTCAAAATCATTTGATATGAAAGATATGGATGAAGCAGACTATATATTGGGTGTTAAGATCCAAAGAAATCGTTCCAAGAAATTTTTAAGTTTATCTCAAGAAACTTATATAAAGAAAATATTACATTTTTGGATGAATAGTTGCAAATCCATGGACACTCATGTAGCAAGGGGTGAAACTTTAAGCCTTGAAATGTATCAAAAGACTGAAAAAGAAAAGGAAGACATGTCTCGAGTTCCTTATTCTAGTGTTGTCGGGAGTTTGATGTATGCTATGAGGTGTACTCGCCTTGACATTTGTTATGTTGTGAGTCTAGTTAGCAGGTATCAATCCAATCCTGGAAGAGATCATTGGAAAGCAGTAAAGAGAATATTTTGTTACTTGAAGGGAACTGCAGATCATACACTTTGTTATAGTGGATCTGATTTGTTCATAAGAGGTTATACAGATATTGATTGGGTTGGTGACCGGAATGATAGAAAATCAACATCCGGCTATGCATTCTTACTAAATGGTGGTGTTATTTCATGTAAAAGTAAGAAGCAAACTTGCACAGCTGTTTCAACCATGGAATCTGAATTTGTGGCTTGTGCGTCTGTAGTACAAGAAGTTGTTTGGTTAAAGATATTCTTTGAGCATTTGAATTTTGTAAAGGATTCTAAGTGTCTCTTGATTCTATATTGTGATAGTCAAGCGGCTATCGCATATACGATGGATCCTAAATTGTCACGACCCGAGCCTACACCCTGGACGTGGCCGGCACTCGAAGACCATTGTTGATCCCCAAGCGAACCCTCATCCTGGCTGACTACAAGCGGAAAACTGATTCAAGCATACAGAGCTTAAAAACTGAAATAAAAGTTCATAAAACTTAAATACAAACTTTAAGTCCAAAGAAAACTCTGTATAATAAAATATATACAACTCGCCATAAAAAGGCAACTTTAGTCTTTAAAACATTTAATAAAATAAATGATATAGACTTCTCAACTATATTGACTATCTATGAAGCCTCTAACTGATAAAGATGGAAGTCGGGACAAGACCCACGACATCCTAACAACTGATATAACTGAAAGGTAAATGAAATCCTCTGAAAGCAAGGAGGCTCACCATAGCTAACTTGAACTTTCGGATGTATCAACGAAGCTCCTGTTGATGATCCTGAATACCTGTGTCTGCATCACGAGAAGATGCAGGCCAAATGGCTCAGTACGTGGAATGTACGAGCATGTAAGAGGAATTCTAAAACATAAACATAAGCTTGAAACTTGATAGAAATGAAACATACTTACCTCTTCTCAAACTTACTCAACTCAAGGAATACTCAAGGGTACTCAAAACTACTCAAACTTACTCAACTCAGAAGTACTCAAGTATAAGATACTCAACTCCGAGATTAGATACTCAACTCAAGGATGTGATATTCTACTCAAAGATATGATATTCGACTCTGGATACTCAACTTTGAATACTCAACTAAATATGACTGAACTCATTTCACTATAAAGCAATTTAAAACAAGTGCAATATAAAGAAACAAACTGTTTAAAAACATGCTGTCAAATCTGTGTGTATGCAAGGATACAACATAACTCTAAAATGTATATAAAAATATAATAAACTGATGTATATAAAAACACAATAACTTTTGTGGGAGTTTCTCTAACCGACAACCATCACATAAGAGCTATAGTGATGATACATCGATCTACCTCACGCTGCCAGTGCATCCTATACCCAGCCAAAGGTATAGGACCTGAACTGCCTAATGGATCCACTAGTCTATTTCGAAAAAGGTTCATCTAAAAAGTATGACCCTTTTCTACCCATGGTGGCTACATGGTTTATAGAGGTTGTGAGTTGTCTAAAATCTCCCCCATATCGGTGCTCAATACTACTCCCAAAAATATACTAGCTCTTATGTCTTAAAAACATACTTTTTTCTGCTAGTTTGAGATAGCTCAAAACTTAGCTCAAAGGCTATCTTGGAAATCCCAGTTTCCTCTCTTGCTTCATTTAGAAAGCGATTACTCTTTTCTGAAAACTAGCCCGAAAGCTCTTTGGAAATCTTAGTTTCCGTTCTTATTTAAATGTGAAAACATTTATAAACTTTTTGGGAATACTTAGTCCCCATATACTTTTGAAGAAAAAAAACTTCAAACTTTACTCTTTAGTCTTTACTGAACTTAAAACTTAAGTCTTAAAACAAAGTTAAAACGTTTGTAAAAGACTTCTTAAAATATGGTTCATACCGAATTATGGACATGAACTACTCAATGTAAGGTTTTCAATAACCATAGATAGAACTCAAATACTTGGAACTCAAGAACTTCAATAATACTAATCATTTCAAGAATGCTCAACTCAGAGTTCATGCGGAATTATGAGCATGAACTACTCAACTCAATGACTCAAAGATACATCTCATCTCAAGACTGTTCGACTTATAATGTTCATGCGAAATTATGGGCATGAACAATTCAACTTAAGGACTTCATGGATAACATGTAATAGTCCCATGATTAGAAATATAATCTCAAAGGGGTTAGAAACTCAATACTTAAAAGGCTTAGAACTTGAAGACACCACTTTTCTAAAGGATGCTCAACTTACGACGTGCATGCGGAGTTTATGGGCATGAACGACTCGACTCAAGGGTCAAAATATCAATAAGGAATTCATGTACAACTCTTCTCATTCTCATACTTACTTTCTCAAAATTTAACTCAAATCGATGATGGATCTCAAAGGATTCGGAATTGAAGTCAAAAGCTTCCTTGAACTCTACTCTTAACTCTCTCTTGAATTTAAATTATGAATTCAAGAGTTATGATTCATGATATGAAGGATCTCAATAAAAATATAGTTATTCGATAATTAGGAATAGAACTTTTAAAAGAAACATGAATTCAAGAACTCACAATCAACTTATCTCAAGAATACTCAAATCTAGGGAAAGTATCCTAGATTACTCTTTTTCTGATCTGAAAGTAGATGTAGGGCGTGAGGACGAACTAGTCCAACACTATGATAGCCTTAGATACCTAGAAGAATAAGATTCTTGAAGAATCTTGAAGAATATTTAAGAATCTTGAAGAATCTTGAAGAAGAACTTGATTAGAAGCCTTGAAACCCTAGCTTGAAGGTAAACAATCAAGAAGACCTTTCTTGAGATTCTCGAGTTAGTTTCTTAAAATCTCTATAGACAAAAATTATGATTTTCATGAGTGAAGATGAAAATCTGATTGTTTTGAGCTTTTTAATTAGTCAAGAAATTCGTTGATGGTTTTCTTGGAGGTAAAAAGATAAAAACGATTATTTTCAATATTTTTCCGTCGGCTAATTCGTAACAGCACTGTATAGGTTACTAAAATAGTCATAACTTTTTACTCAGATATTGGATTGATGTGAAACTAGTGGGGTTGGAAAGTAGATTCAATTACCTTTAATTGGATAGGTTATGGCTCACGTAAATCTTAATATTCTAAGAGATATGGTCGTTTAAAGTTGACCCAAGTAGAATCTTACATCAAAACTTAATGAAACTTCAAGAACACTTGTCAAGAACTCATCAAGAACTTAAATCCTTAAATTTCAAGAACGAAATTACGCTGAATAAATCATGATTGGAATGTGGGTGAAAGAACCCAACACTATGGAAGCTTACATACCTCTTAGGGCTTAATCCCATGGTGACAATCCGCAACAACTCTCAAGCATCTCGACGAACGCTTCGATCCTTTCTCTTTTCTCCTCTTTTCTCTTCTTCTTTTCTCTTCTTGAACTCTCAACTAAAACCCTAGGTGTAAACTAGGATTATAAAACTGAACCTAATAGGATTAGACCCTTAAGACCTTAATAAAAACGAATTAAATCTGATTTGGTAAGGAAAAGACCAAAATACCCCTCTCTATTTTCGGCTGACCTTCCTTAACTGGTCAGCCTATCTTCAAAAGACCATATCTCACTCATCCGACCTCGAAACTTAGCAAACTCAGCGGCATTGGAAAGATAATTTAAAGATCTTCGCTATGGTATCTAGTAGCACACCTAATTCATCTTGATATAGGAATTATGGTCATTTGAAGTCGACCCAAAACTCATACTTAAGCATAACTTGCAAAATTTCAGATTTTGCTATTTCCAATTTAATTCTTTTTGAAACTCAAGGTGCTACATCTAGTGACCTTAACATTTAAGAAATTTTAAATTCCTTGGTAAAATCTCACTCACTACGAAGAACGGATTGAGTCTTAGTTCAAAAATTTTCTGGGGTGTTACATAAATATCACAGCAACACCAAACACATTGACATCAAGTATAACTTTGTGAGAGACGTAGTGGCAAGTGGAGAAATAACTTTGCAATACATTCATACACGTGAAATGATAGCCGATCCTTTTACGAAGGCCATTTCTAGAGACATGTTTGAAAAACATGTTAAGGCTCTAGGTTTGTGTAGAATATGATGATATTTTAGTATTGTAACTTGATTGTTATAATATTCTCTTCTATGTAATACTATTGTATTTATATTCAAATATCATATGCATGTGATAATTTTTAAGAAATAAAGTGTGTCGAACAAGTCACGAGATTAGCTCTCTCACACGAGTAATCGCCTCTTACATCAGGGAACGTGAAGAGATGAGTTTCACCACCATATTTTTACTTGTTTTATGATCCAGACAAAAGTTTCTCCAAGAAAATGAGTTTAAGGATCACTGAAGAGAGAAACTACGGTTTAACATCTGGAGGTGTTTAGACCAAGGTCTGTACGATGTTGAATAATCGAAAGAATGAGACACATATACCAATATAAGGTGTAAACATCGTAGCACGTGTTTCATACCACGTGTGTCAATCGATTAATGGCTCAATGAAAGAATGGTTCCCTGCTTCTTCATTGTGTGAGACCCCGCAAGGTTAAAATGGCTTTTCAATGAAATACCCTTTGACCTTTTACTGTTTCTTGAAGTTTCGATCGGTGTTGCTACTTTAGCATGTTACTAATAGCCATGAGTGATTCAGCAATGCAGTACATGTCTAGAAAAGTAGTTGATATGGAACAGATAGATTCGAGTAGAAAGGGAAGATGATTAAAATGAACAATTCAACTTGTATACATAAGCCGACTATTACACTCGAGTGTAATTTGTGTGTATAAAGTTAAAACGTAGACTCGAGTTCACCTCTATAAGAGGTTGAGGGATCGAATAAGTAACTACTGAAGCAGTGAATGACGTCTAGGGTATTGTGAGTAATAGTGTCCTTAAAATAGTAATGAATTCTTTCCACATGTGATTGGATTCCTATATAGGGCTTGTAAAACCTTACAGGTAAACTCTTCATGCTCACAGGTCGCATGAACTATTTGTCGTATGAATTGTGTGTCTGATTGATGTTGTGTTGGCTTGGGTCTTGTCCACCATGTGCGAAGTGGGAGATGTATGTTTTGGGTCATGGGTCTCCCATGTGGACCGACCCGACCCAATCTATCATGCCTTATCTAATTTAATTAATTAATTAATTGGATAATTCTTTTAAAAGGATAAGGCAGAAACAGTTACACTGTAATTGTTCGACCTCCCCTTAAAAGACTCCTAGTGGGAGTAACTTTTAAGAGACGTGAAACGTAAAAAGAG